ATATATATCTATATTTACATTTATATATTATATATTATATATTATATATTATATATTATATATATATATATATATATATATTTATGTATGTATATATATATATATATATATATATTTATACAAGGTATTTTTTTTACCAATGATACTTGCTGAGCGTCGATGTTTCATTGAGGCGTTTCAATTTGCATCCCCATGCATTTTAATCGTAGCTTGTATAAATTTTCATAGTACACCCTGGGGTCTTGACTCGGGTCAGAATTAGAGTAACAAAATTCTCTCATGTATAACACATCTTGCAAAGCACAGGTCCGTTTCACGTACAATATTCGCCACCATACTCATCGTTTAACTGGCACCAACCCCTGGAATCGCGTAGACTACGGATTGTTTTGTTTTTTTTTACCACAGCGTCCAACAAACGCACCCTGAGTACGAGTTTCTCCGTTCTATCTCTATAACTCGACTGCATTCTGTGAACTAACCTCCTCCGTATGACTACACCCACCGTATCTACAGCAAGGATACAGCGCTTGCTGGGCTTCAGCATAGGGTTAGTGTCCATCTCTGCCGAGCCGGTTCTCTCGCACCCTTTTATCGTATGTCGTCTACAACGACAGATGCACACAGTCGCACCTCTGGGTAGTGCGCGTAAAGATCCATTGCGGATGCTGAGGTGTGATAGGGTTTTAGGGTTTGCATATGCGTGTCTGTTGTGCTATGCCGCAGTATGGTAGGCATTCTAATGCTGAGGATATCCGTGTGCAAGTTCTTTGTGTGACCGTTAGGGTACATCTCTGAGTGTCTGTTGTGCTGCTACCGTGTGTCCATAATTTCGGGCAAGCGTTGAGTTCGGGTGCGCTGTTGCGTTCGATGGGGTAGTGCACCCGATGGCCGTGTCCCATTTTGTTTGGGGTAAGGACCAACTATGTTCCATTTTGTTTGGAGTAAGGGCCAACTATGTCCCTTTTTGTTTGGGGTAAGGGCTAACTATGTCCCATTTGTTTGGGGTAAGGGCTAACTATGTCCCATTTGTTTGGGGTAAGGGCCAACTGTGTCCCGTTTGAGCACGAGGAGAATTAGTGGTCACCTGTGCGCGAGAACCTAACTAGCTATCCCATATTTGGTAAAGCGTTGTCTACTTATGTTGGCACCCGTCTCGTGCACTGGTTCGTCCTAGAACTCCGCTCAGAAATGAAATGAGTTGAATTAAGCCGTTGTTTTGGAATACGTTAGTATACACGGGGCACGTACACACACCGGGGTCGTCCGAGTACCCAAGCCGAGCACAAAACCCAAGCCCATAGGTACATATACACACGCATCAATCATAGGCGTATATACCTGTATGTATTTGTTTACTGGAGCTGATATACCTTGTATTTCGTCCCCATATAATGCACACAGGCACATGGATGGTGTGCTCGATAAGTATGGCCTGTGGGCACTCTACCAGGGGTTTGGCACCTTCATCACCATGAACACCTTATCCACCGTCGCATACTTAACTGTGCGCGGGACGCTACAGGTATGTTAAGGCATCCGCCAACCACTGCCATGTTTATTAAGGTAGTCAGCGAGCCCTATACCATTTATACCTTAGACAATGTATATGCATTATACATGTCCAGTAGACCTGCAAAGCGGAGATTTGGGTATTGCTTGATTTCATGGCAAGGGCACGTATTCCTAGGTATAGATGTCACGGTTGTGTTTTGTTCATGATATGCACGGTAATAAATCACAATGTGATAGTAAGTCAAATGTGGTAATAAATCACACGTACGTGTATGGCCACATGTGTGCAGAAATGCAACGTACGTGTGTAATTTTGAAGTGATGCCAATGAATGAGGACCACTGCTGTTCGATACTATTTGTTGTATGAGTGGTCGTACTAAGCATGCCAAGGAGATGTGGGTTTGTGCACAGGCATTTTCCATGTCTCTTGCGGCCCGGCTATCTTGTATACTAAAATATACTATAAGTATGGCTTGTATACTGAAATAATAGGTCTATCTTGTATACTAAAATATACTATAAACCTGCTTTGTATACTAAAATGTACTGTAAGCCTGTCTTGTATACTAAAATATACTACAAGTCTATCTTGTACACTAAAATATACTATAGGTCTATCTTGTATACTAAAATAGAATATAAGTCTATATTGTATACTAAAATAAACTAAAAGTCTATCTTGTATACTAAAATATACTATAAGTCTATCTTGTATACTAAAATGTACTATAAGTCTATCTTGTATACTAAAATATACTATAAGTCTATCTTGTATACTATACTATACTATTTTATACTATACTATACTATACTATACTATACTATACTATACTATAAGTTGACGCTGCTAGTTACTTCCAAAGACGATGGAGTGTATACGTAGTTCTACCGCATCGCCCTTGTAGCGTTGACTATACCTTCATCATTTCCGACATGCTCTGTTCGTATTTCATTAAAATTCGTTTTATGTATGTGTATGTCACGGAAACACAAATCACAAGCTCAGTCGTGTGTATATGTCTCATTATTGATGTCGTTCTACCCGTGGCACAACAGGGCATCTTCGGCGATCCGCTGGGAACAGAAGATGAGAATGACCTTGAACGTTCCTATACAAATGAAGGTGAGCAATTTACGATATATATATATATATATGTATATGTATATGTATATGTATATGTATGTATATATATCTATATATGTATGTATGTATGTATATACGTATATACATATGTATATATATATATATATATTATATATATATATATATATATATATATATATATATATATATATATATATATATATATATCAATATATCAATATATATATGTGTGTGTGTGTGTGTGTGTGTGTGTATGTGTGTGTGTGTGTGTGTATGTGTGTGTGTGTGTGTATACATATATATATCAGCCGGCGTCAACGCGCGTGCGTCTCCGACCGAATCGCCCCAAAATGTGTCGGCATTTGGCTTTGGCTGTCTATTGCTCACTGTCTAGCCTTGACCCTAAAAAAACACCCCCAACATACATATTAATATAGCGCCCCCAATACATATTAAGAAAGTACCCGTAATAGATATTAACATATAGTAACCCAAAAACATATCAGCGTACCCACTTACCTATCTCTTTCTCTACTCTCTTACCTACCTCTTTCCCGCTCTTATTTATCCCTCACCCAATCGCATCGCCCCAAACCCAGGCGTCCCCTATGCGGCGGTGCTCTCCACTCTCCTACAGCGTAGCCTCAGTGCCATGGCCACGTTACCCTTCTACGCCGCAACCATTGTGTGTCTAGTACGCGACTGCACACACTCCCTCCCCGCGCCACAGCACATGAGCATGTGGTGCACACTGTTCCGGCAGGTCCCGAGCGCAGTAGTGGGCAATTGTAGAGGAGTGGCCACTGTGGCGGTGGCTGTGGCTGGGACTGGGGTGGGTGGGCGTGTGGGGATGATCCCGCTGTATCGCCTGGCGCTGCCGTTTGCGCTTACGGTGTTGGTGAATGATACGTTTGAAGAGTTCTTTACGTTTGCGTCGTTCACTCATCTGATGGGGATGGTCCTGGGCGACTCGGCTGAGGTGTGTCTGTGCACTCACGCCTGTGTGGAGTTGTTCTGAGTTTGTGCGATATAATACCTGGCCGTAAGGCGGAAAGTATGTGTGTGTGTGTATGGATGAGGCTGCGGGTGAGTGTCTTGTGTGATGGTATGCATGTGCATAGGGAGTTGGGGGCTGTGTATTGCTGCCAGTAGACACGGATGCTTTGTTCACATTTGTGCGGTGTTTGTTGCTGTCTGTTGTTTTGGGTGTACTTGATGTTATCAGCCGGTGACGGACAATGCTCACTCAGATCCATTGCACAGTCAGGTGCGGTGCATTTACATCTAAAATGTAAACGGCTTGACAGCGCTATTTGTATAGAGTGTAACGTATTGCTTGGTGTGCTTAATATACAAAGTGTAATCATACGTGAGAATCTTGTCTGTGTGTGTTCGACATAACGGCTGCGTGCATATGAATTCGGAGCCCTGTTTTCAGTTCGGAACTTTCTATTTCTATGTGCGTCATCAAGGCTGGACAAAGGACAAGTGAAGATCCACTAAACGAAGCTAAAAGTAACTCCACCCTCTCTCCTCAACACACGTACCAATCAGACCGACAAGCCCAGCACAGGCGGTAGCCTCAACTCGACCGACGGCACCGGCATGCGTGTGGGCCGCACTCACAATGTCACAGACCCACCCATCACTCATTTAGACAACGAGAGCTGGGACGACTTCTCAGTCACACAAGCACACTCCACGCTCGGTGAAAGGCCGCACACGCCCGTTAACGGCTTCTTCAATGGCGGTGCCCATGGGATCGCTACTGGTGACGAGCCTCGCGGGGGGGGTGGAGCGTACCAGGACGATTTGCCGTCGCACACCTCAGCGGATGTGGAGAAGGATACGCAGTAAGTGGAGTAACGCACGTATGTCTGTGTGATGTGGTGTGTGTGTGGGGTGTGATGTGGTGTGTGTGTGGGGTGTGATGTGGTGTGTGTGTGGGTGTGATGTGGTGTGTGTGTGGGGTGTGATGTTGTGTGGTGTGGAGCGTGTGTGTGGTATGATGTGTGTGTATGTGTGTGTGTGTGGTGCGGTGTGGTGTGGTGTGGTGCGTGTGTGTGGTGTGATGTGTGTGTGTGGTGTGGTGTGGTGTGGTGTGATGCGTGTGGTTTGGTGTGGTATGTGTGTGTGGTGTGATGTATGTATGGTTTGGTGTGGTATGTGTGTGTGGTGGTGTGTGTGAAGTGTGTGGTGTGATGTGTGGTTGGCGTACGAGTGTGTGTATGGGTGTATGTGGAGAGTTCACACTTGATGTGGATGTGTACGCGGTGTTTGTGGGTGTTTTACAGGGTGCTGTAATGTGGGGGAAAGGGTTTTTGCGATGCGTGTGGTTGCAATTGTGAGTGTACCTGTGATGTAATTTGGTGTACACGTGGTACACTTTAGTTTCAATGCAATCGGCTATTGAACTCTCGATCAAAACTTCTTCTTCCACTCCATGTTTTATTTGAATTACTAAATTCATCGGCAATTATAAGTCAGCGTTTCTGTATTGCGTGCACCCGACTTTATTTGTTCCACAATCCCGATAAACTTGTACCTTAATTCTATGCCACTCGAATTAAACCACCTGGCGAGTTGTCGTATATCAATCTCACATCCACGCTTCTAATGTTGCTCTGAGCCCCGGATTCAACAACTGCACCTCTGAAGCGTGCATGTCTAGGGCGTTGGCTGGCACACGGTCACTGTCTGTTAGTAATTTGTATGCACCTGCGACCGTGTGAAATGGACCTCATGGCATAGGAATGGAGTCCAATCTGATCTGTGCAGGTCGTGCATTTTAATCCGAGTTTATGACCCACAAACCGCGTTCGCTGACGTCTGTGACTGTCCTACTATTTTCCGCACAGGGGAGATAAACCAGTGGGCACGGAGGCCCTGTTGGCCTTCGTCCCTGATTTGTTGAGTACGTTTGTGGGTTCATTGACCTCGGAGTTCCTCACGTACCCGCTGTGGGTTGTGCTGAACCGACTGATTGTACAGGGCAATGGCTGTCTGATTGTGGACACGATTTCAGGTATGTGTAATGGGTGACCTGTTTGTGGACACGGTTTTAGGTGTGTGTTCGGGTTTCAGGTGTGTGTTCTGGTTTTAGGTGTGTGTTCTGGTTTCAGGTGTGTGTTTTGGTTTTAGGTGTGTGCTCTGGTTTCAGGTGTGTGTTCTGGTTTTAGGGGTGTGCTCTGGTTTTAGGTGTGTGCTCTGGTTTTAGGTGTGTGTTCTGGTTTCAGGTGTGTGTTCTGGTTTTAAGGGTGTGCTCTGGTTTTAGGTGTGTGCTCTGGTTTTAGGTGTGTGTTTTGGTTTTAGGTGTGTGCTCTGGTTTCAGATGTGTGTTCTGGTTTCAGGTGTGTGTTCTGGTTTTAGGGGTGTGCTCTGGTTTTAGGTGTGTGCTCTGGTTTTAGGTGTGTGTTCTGGTTTCAGGTGTATGCTGGGCACATACGGCATGACTTGGCATTGTACTGCGGGTTTTGCAGATGGCCCGCTCTTAATTCGTCCACTTCCTATTTCACCATCCAATTTTCAATGATTGTTTTTACTCTAGGCATCATAACCGTGGCTGGTTGTTGTAGCCTTTCACCACGTACTATTCTTGCTTTCTTTTTCTTTTTTCTGGTGGTTTTTTTTTGTCGTTTGTCTAAGAATCTTGAGTAGAAGTGTGACTAGTTGTTGTAGCACTCGTGATGTGATTCGCGTTGAGTCGTTACCGCACTTTTGGAGGGAGTATCTCTTGCTGTTGCTTTAAGACACGCACACAGTTTATAGGCAGTGATCTCCTATGGAGAAATTTAAATTGCTTCTCAATACTTCAGCCTGTATACTGTCGTCGAACATATTTCTACTACGAATGTGTCCAGATCGATTCTCAGCCACAGGATTTCAAGAGCATCAATGCCTATTGCCTGAATATATTTTATGTGAGCACATCCGATTATATACATACTGTTGTGCGGTTTTCCTTGTATTTTCGTATGACTTTCATTTATTGAATCTTATTTATATCAACTTGCCTTTAATGTCATGGTATATTGAAGTCTTTGCGTCAAAACCTATCGTTGTGATTTTACGATTGTATAGTTGTATGCATTGCTCAAGAAATCATTCAACGCGAACAATGGCTTGTAGATACTTGTTGTACTCGCAAAATAGCTACTGTCTACTAGTATAAACTCCAATCCACATTTCCATCCCTTCCCTTTCTATTCCCAAATGTAAAGGCCGTGGCCTGGTGCCAGTGGATTTCAATTATACTGGCTATTGGAATTGTGTTTCCACAATCTGGTCTGAGGAGGGAATATTCGGGTATGTTTGCCACAATACATGTATTCAGATGTGTACCTGCTAGCTTTTCAGCGTTTTATATAGCACTCAAAGCATACAGGCGTATACTATCAAACTCTTCTCCAATTAAAACTTATGTGTGTAGTTAGTACAGACGGTGACACCACTCTGGTCGTAAAGCATTGGGTGGCAGTACACCAGCCGCGACCTCAAGAAGTTTATTATTTGTGTACGGGTTAGGGATGTGCTCTTGGTTACTGCAGTAAAGTAGAACCTGAGTTGTGGGATAGTAGGAAGTAACAGATCACTTTACAGTTGATGTTGAAAATTAAAGTTTGACTTGAAGGAAGGCTAATACGTATATACTTCACTATCGGCGATAGCTACAACAACGGCGAAATCTGTCGGTGCATGTTTGCTATTTATTTGTATCTATTGTGAATGTTGCCAATTCACTTCACATTCCTGCGTCGCATTTGCAATCAAAATATGTGCTTTAGTTTACGTTAGGTTCATTCGATCACGTATACCCGGATAACATTCAGTGACATGGCGAAGTCCGACTCAGCCGCATCAACGCTTCTTTTAATTAGCCAGTTGAGTTTATTGAGATATATCGATGTGAATTTAATTTCCCGTTCTAACTAAATTGAACTTCAAATTAACTTCTCAAACAGGTTTTACAGGGGATTTTCGGCTTTCACGTATCAATATGGAGCCCATCTGATACTGTTGAAGATAACGATTTCCGCCTACAAGTACTTCTCGGATGTTTTTGTGCCACCCCCACCCCCACAACAACCGGAGAACAGGGGTCCACAGCGAAGTGCTAATCCTGCTCCATGGAGAGACAGTGTTTAAATAGCGACAGTAGAAGTAACTCGGTGAATTTTGCACCTGCAGAGCCCTTTCGCTTCATATCCCTTTGTATGAAAAAATATATAAGTGCAATCCAAATGGAGGGATGCGTTTGTGGTGAATGGAAGGAATCATCCCAGAAGGTCTGCCGTGCAAATTGCATCAGATGAGAAGACTACACGAAATGATAGAATAGAAAAATATTAATGATGATGTAGAATAGAGCGTCTTGAGATTTAAGAGTATAAAGCTAACAATATTTAATCACCTTTATGTTCAGTGCGCATAACGACCATACCATAATCATTTATATACTGTATCGAGAACAACATGAACGTATTATTGTAAGTCGGACGTGAACACGTATCAGGTATTAAAATTAAGAATAACGCATGGATATATTTCAGTACATTTAGTACGCATAAACATTTCATTGGCAACGTTACGCCTAGCAGATGGAAAACGAAGTGAAGAGTAGCAACAAGTATGCTCAAAATACTGTGGAAACTCGACTCGAAATTCCAATTGTCTTGTATCCATGCCATATGATAATCTGAGCAGAGTACTATTATACCCATAAACCCCACCAACTTGAGTTTGACTACAGACGTTGGGCTTCTCCAAAGGTAGGGCGACTTCTTCCGACATCACAAAACGAAGAATGTGCCACTTAAAAGACAAAAGTGGCGTATGATACTTAAAGTTATTCCTATATCTCTCACAGTATTGGCTGGTATCTGGTGATCTGCTTGGGTCTGTACTTGTTGAGTATACCACCAAAAACTAACTCGAATATTTTGTACTGACGAAAATAAGTGCGAACTGTATAATGCCTGACTCGGATCTGGAACTGAACCCAATTGCTCAGAATGATTGACTGGGTTACACGTGTTGCCATTTTCCATGGATGTAATAAATATCCTACCAAGATCGAGAATGGCTCAACTCCGTGTACTGCCAATGTTGATGGATAGTTATCGATTGCTAGAACTTGTTCGTCGCCGTTTACTTTAGGGTTTACTATCGAATGAATTGTTTTTAATGGAATTTTTAACTTCTGGGAAGGGTCTATCACTTGGATATGCAGTTTATTTTATGCGCATGCGACAATTCCTTATACCTTGCTCGTGTAAATTTTTCTTTGGAAGATCCGGTTTTCATTATTGATTAATTAATTTCTCACTGAGTAAAGCGTCCGTGTTTGATGAGTATTCTGACTAGGGTAAAATTAGAATTGACTATACAAATGACTACCAGGTTGCTAGTTCAACCCTGTATACGAAAGTTCTAAGAATGGGCCCCCTAAATAGTGCATGCGTATGTTCGTTACTTCTTGTAGGATTGTACTTTGTTCGGTTGTATAGGGGTGCAAGTATGCGATTTTAGGAATTTGATCGAATGCAAGGTGCTTTCCACAAATGTATCGCACTATTGCGAATATGAATCCTGATGTGCATGTAGATATAATAATTGACTCCAAATCGAAATGAATATTATTATCCCTTTAGCTCGCGCATTGATCATAGCATGTAGTTATCATTCCATAATAGTCCCTCCCACCACTAGCACGAATTGCTCACTTCATGTGTCGCTGCATTTTTAAATTTGGAGATATATTTATATATATATATATACATATATATTATATCTATCAATATATATATATATATATATATATA